CCCCTCTGTACAGTATGTTCACAAATAAAATAAAATTAAATTAAAAAAAAAGAAATAGAAACTTAAAAAAAAAAAAGAAAAAAGCTGGAAGTGGTGCTGTGGCTCAAGTGGTAGAGCGTTAGCCTTGAGCTGAAGAGCTGAAGGACAGCGCCCAGGCCCAGAGTTCAGGCCCCACAACCAGACCAAAAAAATTACAAAAAAATATGGTTATTTAAAAAGATGGTTATATCTGCCAACAAGTGGAAGAATATTGTACAATTTCTGTAAAAAAATTCTCAGTGCAAATAAGTAACAACTGCAGCCAACTTACCTTACCTAGCCACACCTGTAAATTTTCAGTGGTGTTGCTTGTAGGTCCAGGCTGTGCATTAGATGACTTGTTCAGCTTTCACCATTTATTTCAGTTAGAGCCATCCCACATGAATCGATTCATAATGTCTTACTATAGTGAGAGGCAAGAGTTCTGCAAGATGGAGAGCTAGGGAGAACACTACAGTTCTTTCTTTCAGTCCACTAAAAGCTGCCCTAGTAAATGCCCTATCTACAGTGCTGTCCGTTTCATTGTGACTAACTCAGATCTTTATCAATTGTTGCAAGTAACTGAAACTCGCTAATTATTTCATGTACACATTTAGGCAAATATCATCTTTAACTTAATGGCTTACTTAAAGTCTTTGACCTGCTCTAGACTGTGGTTAATGAGACTTAAACGTCAGAGCTGGGGAAGGCCCAGCACTGTACTTGTACAGCTGTGAGCGTGGGTGTCCTCTGTACGTGCCTCTTGTGCCACATCCTGTATCATTCTCAGGATCCCTTTGCTACATGGCAGTCCCCAATTGGGCACTGAAAGCCCCTGCATAAAGTCTAATCAGATGGCTAATGTTTTACTTACTTGTGGTATTGGCATTACAGGTTTGTCCAGGATGCCTCCAATATAAACAGTGTTAGGAAACAGGGGCCTGACAAAATCCAAGGCAAAATCCGAATTCACAAACCAAAACTCTGTTTTCTGGGGAAGATGAGCCAAAACTGGCCTAGAGCCTTCTGCGAAATGCTGCTTGATGGTGTTGTCAAAGGTAGAGTACTTTTTCTTTTGCTTCATAGAAAAAGCAACAGACTTTAGAATGTTCTTTACTAGGCCCCAGAAGGCCATTTCTCCACTCAGCAGTGGATAGTATACTGGAACATATGACAATGGACTTGGGAACCCAAAGTTGCCATTAGCAAATGCTGTGGAAAGTAAGCACACAAATGGTTTTCCAAGTTTCTCAGCAATCAGCAAAGAGCAGAAATCTACTGAATCCAAAATCATCAGGTCAACATTCTCATTCCTTAAGGAATCCAGGATGTCCTTTGAGCTTAGCAAGTCACTGCATAAAGTTCCAAGGATTTAATAGAGCTTTATATAGTTGTCAAATTTTTCCCTATAAATAGAAATTTCATAGCAAATATTTGAGGTGTCAATTCCACAATATTTGGAAAAATCTTAGACACAAAGAAAATAGATAGGCAACAGTATAGCTAGCATGCATATAATTTACCACTGTCCAGAAAATACTTCATAGTCCTTGTCTAGGAATTTCCATTCTCTAAAATGTTCCCACTTCTCATCCCATTTCCTCCACTGATTTAATCCTCTGCTGATTTAAATAGCAACAGTGTAAAATTTCTTCTGCCCTGGGTGCCACCACTGACTATAGGATTCTATATGCTCTTAATCACCCTATCTATGTGATAAGCTGTTTAACTTTCATTATATAATGATGTTGAATGATTATACTATCTTCCTGACAATATGTGTAAGCAATTTGTTACTAGCTTCTCTAATCATCAATGGCTCGGTCTATTTCTAATCCTGTGTGTCTTTTATTTGACAGTTACTTCACACACAGAGGCTTTCTGATAACAATATTAGAACCCCAAATCTGATAAGCATGAGATTTTCATCTCTCTTGGCTAGACCTCGTGCAAATGAAACAAAATTATACAGCCATACTTGAAGCTTTGACTTTACATCTCATGCTGGCTCTAGTACTCAAAGATAATGCTAAAGTTTTAGTCATAGTTAAGATTCTTGTTTATGGCACTATTTGAGGGGCATAAAAAATAACCATAGAAAGAGATAATGAATTCCTGCAGTCAGGAAATGGACAATGGTGCTCTGAACATAATGAAGGGATGAGAGATCACACTTTTCGAGAGATCAGCTAAGAATCAGATTGTTTCACATCCTCTGGCACTCTCTTCTTCACAGACACAGCACGTTGAACTACTATTCTCCTCCAATTTATTACAAAAGTGCTCATGAATTCTGTGGAGAAAGCAGTGTTGACTTCATCAACATTTTGAAAGATAGAGGTAACCCTGAGGAAAAGGGAGCCCCAGACCACCCCACAGAGTGGCCCCAACAAAAGTGTCTACAAAGCAGGTCCCACTGCCAGCACAAAGGCCCCAGTGCAGGTCAGCAACTAAACTATAATATATGCACATGTGAGATATAATACCACAGTAAAAATTCTAATGTATAATTAACATACACCAGGAGCCAGCACCAGTGGCTCACACCCACAATCCTAGCTATTCAGGAGGTGAGATCTGAGGATCACAATTTAAAGCCAGCCCAGGAAAAGGAAAATCCATGAGACTCTTATCTCCAATGAATTACAGAAAAAGCCTAAGTGGAGCTGGAGCTCAAATCATAGAGTGCCAGCATTGAACAAAAGGAGCTCAGGGACAGAGCCCAAGCCCTGAGTTCACACCCCAGGAATGGCAAAAAAAAAAAAAAAAGCAAAGGAAAGGAAAAAAAAGAAAACATGAATGATGTGAAAATGAAAAGAGTTAGGGCAAGGGTGGAGCAGGATTGGAAAGAGCCAATGGGAAGGGTAAATAAAAATGTAATCAATTTATTTTTTTTTATTTTGAGCCATGACAGAAGAGACAAAATAAACCTGTGCTTTAGAAGTACATTAACTAACAATACAAGATGACATACATGAAGGTGTCAGGTGAGTTTCTGTGAGAGTGATGGAGAAGAGATTGTGCTCTTGAAGCTTAAGTAAGGGAAAAACTCTGTTTTGAAGGTTCTATTGAGAGTCACCTGGATAGGCGACTAGTAGTCACTGTATTGAACAATGATGACATGGATTTGTGCCTGTCTTCTGTGAAGGTGAAAAAAAAATCTGTGTCCTCAAAGAGAGGGGGGTGGGAAGAATCAGCTTCATCTGTCATTGTAGATCATTAGGCTGCTTGAATTTTTACAGTATTTTAAAGGCAAAGTTTATAAATGATAAAAATGAGTATGCATAAGCATTTTCTCCTTTGGTAACTTTATGTCAAGTAGACAAAACAAGTAATGAAAATTGATCTTATTTCTCTTCAATGAGATGTCAAAGAGTCTAACCTTCTTTCTTTATTTTTTTGGGGGGGTCCAGTCATGGGGCCTGAACTCTGGGCCTGGGCACTGTCCCTCAGCTCTTCACTTCAAGGCTAGCCCTCTACCACTTGAGCCACAGTGCCACTTCTAGCTGTTTTTTTTCTGCTTATGTGGTGCTGAGGAATAGAACCCAGGGCCTCATGCATGCAAGGCAAGTGCTCTACCACTGAGCCACCTTCCCAGCCCACTTTCTTTATTTCTTAAGATTTTATTTGAAACATAGCAAGAAAGAGACTGAAGAAGAAACCCTGTTTCTCAAAAATAGAAAGGAGAAAGAAGGAGAGCACATCAAACTGAGAGGAAGAGATGAGGGAGAATGCATTTATAATATTCAATGCATATTCTAGGAAACCAGGAAAACTGAAGGGCTGGGTGAATTTAGGAGGGATAGAGGAGACCAATGAAAGAGGTGATATTGATCAAAATGCATTGTACTCATAAACTGACATGTTAAATTGCAATCCTTTGTACAGCTATTTAAAGCTAATAAAACTAAATAAAAGGAGAGACTACAGACTAGATGACTGAGAATGAGTTAACTATTGTCCATGCTCTATCATTGAACTGTCCTACTTTCATCCTTGCTCTCTCTCTCTTCTTGATTTGAGTTTTTCTGTCAGTCTCAGGGCCTCATGCTCCCACTTACCTTTCATGCTCATGGATGCCCTACCATTTGAGCCATGCCTCTAGTCTGGCATTTTGCTGGCTAATTGAAGATAGGGTCTCAGACTTTTCTATCTGTGATGACTTTGAACCTCAATCTTCCAGGTCTCAGTCAGTATCCAGAATCACTAAGATTATAGGCATTAGCCACTGGCTTCCATCCATCTTCTTACACATAATCTAGCCTATAAACATCTATCCATCCACCCACTCTCTCACACCTTTCTCTTAAAAGAGACCACACAAAGGATCTTGCATCCATTTATTCATATTATGACCAAAACAGTGACTTTGATTCAGTGAGCCAAGCAAATTACCTTCCATGTAAGGCTTCTTGTAAAAGGAATTCAACAACCTTACGTAATTCTCTCTGATTATCTTCATGTGGAACCCAACTAATAATCTTGTGTGATTTTCTTTCTTTTGGTAAACCTAAAAAAATTAAAATTGGTTAAAAAAGTAAATGTATCATAAATGATGGATCAACACTACCATGACTGCAACAAGATTGTTTATTACATTAATTTTACATCTATTGAAAACTTTTTTAAAGTTCTTCCTTTGTCTTGTTTTATTTCTTCATTCATTCAATTGTTAATCTGTTTATATTTATTAGTACTTTACAATAACTCTGGGACTTCCATTCAATTTAAAGTCATGGAAAATTCCACTTAAGTTTTCATTTAAAGACATAGTATTTACTTTTACTTGCAGATGAGAAAACAGACCTCACCATAGTACACGATACTTAGCTTTTCCACAATGAGTAGAAGGAAAAGAAGAACTTTGACTCATTAACTCATTAACTCCTCTTATCTTATAATTTCATTTATAAGTTGGCAAAACATTACATGTGAGCACTAGAGATTTTTGCTTCTTTCAGTAGCTCTGAAATTACATAATTGCTAAAAATATAAATAATCTAGTCATTAAAATTATAAATGTGACCAATATACAGAAATAACCCCCAAAAGTCAGTTAATAAACATTAGAATAGTACTAAGCTTGGAGTCCAGTAAGCAAAAATAGCCCAGTCATGGGATTTTCCTACTTTCAAAACTCTAAGTTCCACTGCAAAAGAAAAAAAATAGTCCAACCTCAGAAATGTCCAAAGATTTGGTGATATAAAATGAAACTCTGGAATATCAACAGGTGATTCCTATGATAAAATGATTGGTCCATGGTTCCACCAAAATATTTGTAGATTTGTTATATGTGGTGTATCAAAACATTTTGAGCCTATAGGTTTCAACAGTTTACCAAGCTCATTGGAGAATATAATAATGAAACAAATATGCAGTACTGCTCTGAAATCAGATGACCAGGCAGATACAAATGAAACTGTATAGAATAGTCATTGAATGATTATTGAGTTCAACTAGAAGACAACGATAAGTGCTTTGAATATATCTGAACAATGTAAGACTTGAGGTTTAACATTAGAATTCATGATTTGTCAGGCACTTTGTCATCGAAATTTTTTTTAATTTTCCAAACTTTCTGGAAAACTCAAGCTCAAGAGAGACACATTAACCTGTTGTCACTGTTTCTTGATTTGGGTACCCTGTGTCTTGTATATATGTTTATCTGATTTAGGGAAGGGAACAGGTATAACAAAATGCTGAGACAAAGGACAAAAGGTGAGCTAATGCAACAGTGATACTCACAAGACAATATGTTGAAAATGAACATCACAGCTTGGGGCGGGGAGGTAGTCAAAGGGGAGGGAAAATGGGAGAAAATGAAGGAAGGGGTTACATTGTTCAACAAGAAATGTACTCATTATCTATGTAACCATAACTCCCCTGTACATCACCTTTACAATAAAATAACATAAAAAGTGAAAAAAGTCTTAGAATAATCTAATTAAGTTGCCTGGTGACGTTCATCGAATGTGCCTCTGTCTCCTTATCTTTCAAGAGAGATTGATCATCTCTATTTTAGTTATAATACGTTAGATTCATTATCAATTAACAGCTACTGAGATAACTATGTCTAAGCTAATATGGACAGTTTCTTCAAGAACATGAGGTCCTCTGATCTTGGAGTATAAATACTAGAAACTAACATGTGATAGAAAGCACAGTGATCCTTACATTAAGATGCCCGAACATTCTGGTCAATGCGCATTTCTCAATATTGCCCAAAATAAAACAACTCTCACGGGTGGGAGTGTCTCATTCTGTTTTATGTTGGCATAACAATATACCTCAGATTGGGTAGTATGTCTATTTATTTGTTTATTTATTCAGTCATGAGGCCTGAGCTCTGGGCCTGGGTGGACTCTGTCCCTTAGCTCTTCAGTTCAAGGCTAGTGCTCTACCACTTGAGCCACAGCACCACTTCTGGCTTTTTCTGCTTATGTGGTGCTGAGGAATCAAACCCAGGG